AACCTGGGGAGATGGACAGGCATCATATAGGGAAGGATCAGACCTATATAGATAATTGTTAGATGTGGGCCTGGAATTTCATCTAGTTCCAATCTTTATATCATTACATGTGTATATACTGTATGTACACACACATCTATAGGGAAGTGTGTGATCCCATCAGTGTACACTAAACCTGGAGAGATGGACAGGGATCAGACCTGTAAGGATGAAACTAGAACACATGGTGGCACTCCAGAGGCCTACAGCTAACCATCATTATATCATTAAATTATGTATGTACATAGAGATCTATAGGAGAGTGTGTGAGCCCACTGAACCTTGGGGATGGACAGGGATCAAATGGGGAAGAATCAGACCTATATAGATGAAACTAGAACATACGATGACTCTCTAGGCCCCCATCTAACTGTCATTATATCATATTATCCTATTGACATCTATAGGAGTGTGTGCGCTCCCGTCAGTATATACTGGACCTGGAGGGATGGGCATGGATCAGACCTGTGTGGATAGAACTTGAAAACATGATGACGCTCTAGGCCTACCATCATTATATGTGTGTACATGTACATGGAAATATATAGGAGAGTGTGTGACCCCCCACTAGTGTACACTGAAACTGAGGGGGGGTGTAGAATGGATCATATGGGGAAGGACCAGACCTGCATAGACAGATAGAATACTCCAAATCATAGAACCCATGATGACACTCCAGGCCTACATCTAACCATCACTGTGGGTTGTAACATGCGTGCACACAGTGAAGGACGCAGCCTCCATTTCGTTAAGAAATCTCCATTTTGTCCCCTCATTCTCCCCCCCCCCCCCCCCCGCTCTCTGTTCATACACATTGACATATGGCCTGTGTGTTAAAAAGTGTCACAGGCCAGAGCACAGCAGGGAACCCCAGAGCTATAAAACATTTCTGAGCGAAATGCCGGGTTGTCTACCAGAACTGTACAAGTTAACATCTCGTAAAAAGATAACGCAGCCTTCCCAGGAGTTCAAGGGATTCCACAGAAGCAGGAAACCAGATAACCTTTTTAAAAATCTATTTTTCCCCTATGTCTCATATCTTGGAATATGAGAGACTTACATAAAAACCAGGCATTGGCCAAGAGGAGGCGAACAGTTTGATAGGTTACTCTTCGTGGTTGGAATACATAGAAAAGCAGAAAAGTAGATCTCGTGAACCATTTAGTGTAGAATTTCATATTTCATATCTAATCAATCCTCAAACATGTCTGCATAATAATCTACCCGCGGGTGGAGTATCACTTATTCATATGGAAAGTTATGAAAAATATGAGTTATGAGAGATTTTGGCCCCAGTTGAGGTATCCGCCCAGACCATCCCTCACTAAATGAGGCATTGGTCCTTGGCTTTAGAGACACCCCCTGCTGGGGGACGACAAAATGGGCTGTCAGGCCTAAGAAAGTTAAGTTGAAGAATTCTCCCATTTAACATCAATACTACCTGGGGAGACCCGTACCCTTTCGCTCTGAAACTTGATCTGCTAACCCAGGACTTTGGCAAGTACTTTAACCCTTTAACCTCCTTCTGTTATCTCTTTGCTGTGCTGTTGTTCTCTGTATATTTATATATATATTGGTTACATCTTTTTTCTGTAAATATTTTTATTGCACCCCTTTTTGACTTTCAGTAATAAATCTTTCCTTTTGAAAGTGTTGAACTGTTTCTATAGCTCTTAATTGCAATTTACTAAAACCTGCCTCTAAAGAGAGCGCTACTGTGTTTGTTTAGCCCTCTGTATAACCAGCCTGCGGTGACCGTGTTAGGCAGACGATTATCTCAATCATTATAGTGTTATTGCTGGTATAGCCGAGTTTCCTCTTTGTACAAAAAGGAGGTGGTGGCAGTGTGAAGGGTTAATTGCGTAATTAACCTGACCCAGTAACAAATCACTCAGGCTGCCTGTACATAGATTGTGGTCCAATTAGCTGGAAAATCGTTGTGCAGGGTGCAGCTGGGTGTGGCATTGTTACGCACGTGACATCGCGGTTTTAGATTGGCTAGTCCTTCGGTCACAAGTTTAGTGAGAAGGGCTGAGGTCTGACGCCGCAGTCGTCACATTTTGGTGACAGCGATCGTGGGATCGTCACATATTGGTGGCAGCGATCCCGTGTCCGTCACATGGGTTATTTACCAAATCTGGAGAGTGCAAAATCTGGTGCAGCTCTGCATAGAAACCAATCAGCTTCCAGGGTTTATTGTGAAAGCTTAATTGAACAAGCTGAAGTTAGAAGTTGATTGGTTACCATGCACAGCCAGTTCTGAGTGTTTCAGTTTTATTATATCTACCTCATTATATCCTTAAGGAGGAACTCCACCCTACCTATTAAAAATTACATTTTAAATCTTGGACATTTGTCCCTGTATATAAAAAAAAAAAGTTCTAGTGCATGTCATCTAGCATTGTTTTGCTTGCAGGCAAAGTTCTTTCCACATTACTCTCCTCCCGCACCGCCATCTTGAATTTAAATACATGGCATGTGCAGAAGGTCTATGGAACCTGGTAAATGAGGTCCATGGGGTGTCTATGCATGCATTGTATTGCCCCAAACATGCATAGAACTGGCTCAGGTCTTTGCCATTAATAGGCTGCATTGTGGGATATCTGCAATACACATCCGAGATGACAGTGGAGGTTATTTACTAAAACTGCATGGTGCAAAATCTGGTGCAGCTCTTCATAGAATCCAATCAGCTTCCAGGTTCTATTGTCAAAGCTTAATTGATCAAACTGACGTTACAAAACTGATTGGCTACCATGCACAACTGCACCAGATTCTGAGTGCTCCAGTTTTAGTAAATCTCCCCCATAGCGTGAGATGCACAGACACACTGTGGGCGACACTCTGCCACATTAATGGAGAAGACCATTTCTGCATAGGTACAGAGTCTGAGTACATCATCCTTGCCTGGGCATATATGAGATATAGAGTAAAAAAAAAAAAAAAAAAAATCTTTCCCTTTTTTAAAAAAGCTGGGGGGCAGGAGAGAGAATCTTAACCTGCTCGCGCTGACAGTATGCATATATGCAGCCTCTCGGTGGGTGGGTCTTAACACCAAGAGAGGCCATGTATATACGTACCAGAAATATAAACACAGCTGTACAGAGAGCTCGTGCCTTGCGTGCTCCTGGCACAGTTACTGGCGATTAACAGATTTGCCATCGGAAGCTTTCTGATCATGTGACTGCCAATCACGGCAGTCACATCATCAGAAACCCTGCCCCGCCTCTCAGCCCTTTAAGGGGTTTCTGATGCTGGGAGGTGGGGCGTGACTTCTGCCGGTGTCATGCCACCATTAAAAAAAGAAAAAGGGTGTGAGCGCAAATGTTGGGTTTTTCCAGGCATTTGGAAGCTGGCAAAGGCCAGCGGCGGATGTCCATGTGGGCACACAAATGTTGCCAGCTTCTGGGCAGTGTAGTGCATTGTGCGTGTGCATACACTGCCCCCCTCGGATAGCTGTGACATCAAGGCAGCAGAGTCCAGCCGAGACCTGAAACCCAGAAGTAAAGCAAAAATTAAAAAAAAAAAAAAAAAAAAAAAAAGAGTACACATTTTTAGCATTTGTGGAAGGAGGGGGGAGGGACTTAGTAAGACAATGTCATTTAGGAGAGCTTAGATCCACTTTAAAGTAGTATTAAAAGTGTTACTAAGCCCAGGACTCTACATTCACTATATCTGGTCTCCCACAGTACATATGGACGTGCAATTATTTTCATAAATATAAACTGCAAAATGCCTTTTCTCATCAGCATTATATAGCAATCTTGTGACATATCAGTGTCCAGCAGAGCACATGTCAAAGCTTGTAGGTGAAGTTTTCATTCCGCTCTAGGAGGATGCAGAACCACTGACCTCTGTCTGGACAGTGCTAATTGGCCCTGTGCTGATCACATGCATTCTCCCAAGAAAAAAAAAAAACTTTCTAGCAATACACACCAAACTGAGCATGTGCAGAGCATCTCAGGATCAAAAACAGTGTTTTTAAACAATGCAGGGGATCAACCCCTTAGGTTCCACAGTAAGTATAACAATCATGCTTTACTACATATACAGACTGATTTTACTGTTGTGGGTTTAGTAACACTTTAAACCCTGCGCATTTTCTAATTTAACACACTGAGCACAATGAAATAAACATTCTCCCATAAACCATTTGTTAAAAAGTCTTGCCCCTGCACTTGCAGTTACAACTTTGAGAACTTTCTGAACAACTGGTTTTCACACTAAAGAGTTAATAGTAGACAGTGCAGTCTACATCCAGTCTGTAGCTTTGAGAATGAAGGAGGCAGAAGGAGGGAGAAACAAGAAAGTGCCTTGCCATCCCAAGCTAAGGGCTCTGTGTTTCCATTGATCCACACAGTGTAGGGAGACGCAACTTTATTCCCTGCCTACAATGGTGACTCCTTAAGATATTGCAGGAGAAATGAGCCAACCTGCAACAGGAAACCTGGGGCAGTAGTCATGAAACCAGCCAAAAGAGGAATATAGGCAAGGAGTAAAAGATGAAGAAACTGCATTATCAGGACATGAGTAAATCAGCTGCCAAAATGTGAGGGTTTAACCACTAGCCTACAGGGCACTTATACCCCCTTCCTGCCCAGGCCAATTTCCAGCTTTCAGCACTGTCACACTTTGAACGACAATTGCACGGTCATGCAACATTGTACCCATATGAAATTTTTTATCATTTTTTTGAGACAGATAGAGCTTTCTTTTGGTGGTATTTAATTTTTTATTTTTTCTTAAACAAACCAAAAACCACTGAAAACTTTGAAAAAAAGAACGTTTTTCTTAGTTTTTGTTATACATTTTTGTAAATAAGTGATTTTTCTCCTTCACTGATGTGCGCTAATGAGGCTGCACTGATGGACACTGATAAATGGCACCGATAGGGGGCACTGACTGGCACTGATAGGCAGCACTGATGCGCACTGATAGGTGACACTGACTGGCACTGATAGATGGCACTGATTGGCAGCACTGATAGGTGGCACTGATTGGCATTCATAGGTGGCACTGACAGGCAGCTCAGATGGGCACTGATATGTGGCATTGATGTGCACTGGTATGCACTGATATGTGGCAGTGATGTGGCACTGATGGGCACTGGCACTGATGGGCACTAACTGCTGGCACTGATGGACACTGACAGGTGGCACTTCTGGGGCCACACTGATCATCAGGGCACACTGATCATCAGTGCCCTGATGATCAGTGTACATGTCCCCTCCGCGAAAAGCAGATTACCGGCTCTCCTCTCCTCTCGAGCTGTCAGTGTGACAGCTCGAGAGGAGAGAAATGCCGATAACCGGCATTTCCGTGCTTACATGTGATCAGCTGTGATTGGACACAGCTGATCACATGACCGAGCCGACATCTTCGGCTCTGTGATCCGCTGTGTCCGAGGGACACTGCGCACCGGCGAGCACTGCATGCTCCCTGAGCCGCGCATGCGCGGTGAGAATGGAAGGACGTCATATGACGTCCTATCAGAACGAGAGAACCACCTTGCGCTCGTCATTGTACTATATGGCGGGCAGAAGGTGGTTAAAGTGGTAATAAAGTCCTATAAAAAAAAAAAATTTGTGCCCCCAGGCGGTTTAAGTCATTCTCTCTGAATGGAGGAGAAAGATACATTGTATCTCTCTCTGTCCTTTCAGAAAAAAAAAACAAGTGTGTGTAAAAAACAATAAATAAAAATAATTAAAAAAAATAAACAAAAAATACCTAGATCAAGGGTCAGTTTTTGTTTTTTTTTTAAAATTAGTATCAGGATAAAAAAAAAGCAACAAAAAAAATTGCGCACTATTGTTTCTGGGCTGTACTAGGGGTATAAACAACAACTAACATACACACGTGGTAACGCTGCGATCGTCAGGAGCAGGAGAAATTATTTTGGGTTGTTCTTTGGTGGTAGGTTATGGTAGTAGTAAGAAATATACAGCTACATTTTAAAAAATGTGTTTGTTTTATTTTTGGGCCTGTTTTCCTTTGGTAATAATAAAAAAAAAAAAAAAAAATCAGGAGATATCCATTACCATTTACCACCAAATGAAAGCCCAATTTGTCCTGAAAAAAACAAGGTATAATTCACCTGGATGCACAAAGTATTGTGATGATATATACGGTTTTGCTAACACATGTCAAAGTTGCAATATTGTGCTTAGGTATAAAGATTTGTTTTACCCTTAGGCATGAAGGGGTAATATCACTATAAAGAAGGGGTGAAGGTACGCTGTAATAATTCTTTGAATATGTTCTATAATAATCAGGCTTTTATACCATATCTGTGCATTACAACGTGTGTATATATAGAACAAACTATATCAAATAATGTATTAGTACATTGCCTAATAGTATTTAAATGTAACTGAGCTGCTCATTGATTGTGCACTGTGCACAAATAAGTGGGCTTCCTATATAACTCTGGTAACCCTTAGAGGCCTTTAACACCATACTGCACATTAACCTCCCTGGAGGTATTCCCGAGTGTAGCTTGGGGTAAAGTTTCAGCACCACAAGCGGTAACCCCGAACTAAACTTGGGAATACCCTGCAGCATTGCTCCGGGATCTGTTCTTCACTTACCTTGTCCTACGCTCCCGCGATGTCCCCCCTGCAGCGTCCCTAGCAATGTCCTCCGGCCGATGCCGGCATCTGTCTTCCGGGTTCCGTTCCCTGCGACGTCGGGACATACGGGGGACGGAACTGGCAGGAAATTTAAAAATGTCAAAAAGTGACATTCACAAAATACACTAAAATCACATAGTAAAACATTACTGTATCAAACCATTTCACATACATTTTGTCCCTAGTGCTTTGTCCTGCCTGCATTTTTACTGTTCTTTCTGCCTGGAAACTGAGAAATGTCCATGGCGTCCAAAAAGCGTCCCTTTAGGTCAAAAGTGGTTTTAGACCAGCTAGAGAACAGCAATAGTAAATCAGAACCACTTGCAGAATTGAGTGATAATGATTCGTAGGGAAATTCGTCATCGGACACTGAAAACGATTTTGCAACTTTCCTCAGTGATGTGCGAACTGGGTGCTCTATTTCAAATTTCAGTGTTTTTAGTTTGATTACATTATTGAATTAAATTTAATATTAAACTATTATTTTTTATGATTATTTATTAAATTATAATTTATGATTTCATGTTTCAAATTTTATCATACCTGGGATGTTTACTAGACTCTTGTTCGGACAGATTTCAGTGAGTTATTCTTAAAAATTACAGGCCTACAATAAAAAAAACGACGTATTTCCATGCAAAAAAATGTACCGCTTTGAGCACAGAAATACTGACATAATCAGACTGCTAGGGAGGCTAAAACTCACTGCAACACATTGAAAATGCATGGATGTTGATGTGCCTTTATCATACATTTTCATGTGTGCTGCATTACATTGCAATTATATGCGATGCGGCATGCATTTTCATTCAATTCAATGGGCTGCCCTACGTGTGAGCTAATGTACCTTTTTGGGTGTTGAGCTTTGCATGTATTGTCACTGCACCTTTTAACATGTGCAAAAATGTGTTGTCATCTTGCTGTGTTTCGTGTGTCATTAACAATGGCACAGCAAGCGTGACACACGTTTTATGAGTGTTTCTTGAACACACTAAAAAAATAAAAACACACATTTACAAAATGCTCAGGTGTGAATGCAGCCTTAAGGATGAGCAAATCTGTCTGGGTTTGATTTGTGGGGAATACCAGTGGAATTAGTCGGCACAACAGATCTAAAAAGCTGAAGGAAGGCTAAAGCCCCCTCAACTACGTACAAATTGGCCAATAGCATGCACTACAAATCATTTCTGAAATTCAGCCTTAAGGCCTGGACATCCCACAATATCACCTTGTGTTTGACTTCAGGAAATCTTAATAGATGTTCAGTTGGTAATTAGGTTGGATAAACTGAAATAACCATTAGACATGCGATTCAGTTCGTTCAGAATAGTTTTTTGTACAAAAATTTCATTTTCAGAGAGTCACATTTATCCATATTTCTGAATAGACATAGTAACAAATCTGTCTAAATCCAAAAAAGTAATCGGGTGACCCCACCCCCTTGTTTACCGGTCATTCGGTTGTTTTTTTCCCTGCATGTGTCAAGATTCATGGTGATTGATGTTGAATCTACTTCGGGGGATATTTATTCTTGGAGGGGTTTACTAAAGGACTTGTCAAAAACTGTTTTTTTCCCACTTTTGACACTTTTTTTGGTGACTGAGTAGGCATACTACTTATTCACATGGGGGAGATCTGGGGACCCCTGGTTAAAGGGGGCTTCCAGATTCCAATAAGCCCCCACCTGCACATCCCTACAGCCACCGCTCCTGGTTGTGGGGAGGGGGCCCTTATCCTCAACTCAGGAATCCCCCCAGCACCACCCATGTTAAGGACATATGGCCTGGTATGGTTTCTCGTTCCCCTTTGCCTGGCCTGCCAGGCTGCATGCTCGGACTAGGGTCTGGTATGGATCTTGGGGGGATCCCACGCTGTTTTTTTTTTTGTTTGGCATGGGGTTCCCCTCAAAATTTATATCAGACCTGAAGGACCTGATATACATTGGGGGAGCCCAAGCTATTTTTTTTTTAACCACTTGCCCTCCAGAGGATTTACCCCCCTTCCTGACCAGGCCATTTTTTGCGTTATGGCACTGCGTTACTTTAACTGACAATTGCGCAGTCATGCAACACTGCACCCAAATGAAATTTGCAGCCTTTTTTTTTACAAATGGCGGTCATGCAACGCTGCACCCAAATGAAATTTGCAGCCTTTTTTACCCAAGAATAGAGTTTCCTTTTGGTGGTATTTGATCGCCTGTGCGTTTTTATTTTTTGCGCTAAAAAAAAAAGACCGACAATTTGGAGAAAAAAAACTATATTTATGACTGTGACGGAGGGTAGGCAGGACAGAACACACAAGGAGGATGGCAAACACACAAAGCTTTATTGAGACAAATGACAGTCACTCAATAGGGGAATTGCAGGGGGTGAGACAGGACCCAGTATGGAAATAGCAAGGAGAGGGCCTAAATACTTGTAGTCCAGCCCCAGGGGCAAAGTTAAAGTCCACAGGTGCCCGGGTCCACAGGGAAACAAGATAGTATGGCACAAGTACCTGCCCGGAGTCCGGAGTATGTGTGGCGTGGTCCGTGGTAGTTTCCCTCCCCCCCCCCAGTCCAGGGTGCCTGCAACGGGCAGCTGGTGTGGTTCTCCCCCTTAGCTTGGGCTGTGCAGAGCAGCAGCTTGCGGAGGCTCTCCCCCCTTTCCTTGGAGGTCTCAGGGCTTTGGCAGCTTGCAGAGGCTCTCCCCCCTTTCCTTGGGGGTCTCAGGGCTTTGGCAGCTTGCAGAGGTTCTCCCCCTATCCTTGGGGGTCCCAGGGCTTTGGCAGCTTGCTCCCTTTGGCAGCTTGTGAAGGCTCTCCCCCTATCCTTGGGGGTCTCAGGGCTCTGGGGCAGCTTGCTGTGCTCTCCCCTTATCCTTGGGGTCTCAGGGCTCTGGGGCAGCTTGCTGTGCTCTCCTCCTTCCTTGGAGTCTCAGGGTTTGCAGAGCGGGCCACGAGGGTCCCGTCGCAGCTGGGATCCCTCGGTGGCTTGGCAGCGAAAGAGAATGAACAGGAAGAGCCCGGCATCGGTCTCTTAAGCCAATGCAGGACGCTTCCCGGTCGTCCTGGCAATGGTGGGTGGGCCGTGGGCGGCGGGCCTCGTTGCTCAACGGCGAGGCACGCCCCTCTGGACACAGGTCGCGCTCTCGTGAGCTCGGCCTTTGTCCGGAGGCATCCGCAAGCGCGGGAACTCCTTGTGCCCGCGCTGCGGATGCCGGGATCGTGTGGCGTCAGCCTGACGCCATGGTCTGGAACATCTCCGCGGGAGGTTCGCACCTCTCTGCAGAGAGGTGTGAACCTCGCTATCTTGTCCCCTCCAGCCTCGCCGGATGGGGATAAGATAGTGGCAGAGGTGAAAGGAGCAGCGCCTCTCGTCCTGCACGGCTCGGCTTCAAAGAGCCGCGGCAGAACGAGAGACAGCAGGGGGTCATTCCAGATGCGGGCCAGCGGAGGGGGGAGAGCGCCAACAGTGACAATGACTTTTTGCTTTTAAAACATATTTTTATAACTACCACTTCCTCAAATATAATAAGTGACAAATTAGAAAAATCAATATGCAACACAACATTAATTCCCCATAGCACAAATGAACCTTCACCCTTGAAGATATGAAATAACAATATAAAAATGTGCCAAAATTATATAAACAAATACTTATATAATCCACCCCATAAAATAACTCTATCAATATTTCCAAAAAAATTTTCAAAAGAAGTCCAAAACAAAGTCCAAGCAAATTAATATAAATCCAAAAAATTCCAAAAATATTATAAAACTGAAATATCCTTCCAATCCTTCCTTTCTCACGACAAACCTCAAACAAAAAGAAAA